GGTGGAGGAGCTACCAGAAAATATGCCAAATGTGGTATCTCTTTATGATGGAATTATATGAGTAATCTTTTTCTGTATGTTCCATATATTCTATATGGTGTGTGTATTAAGTTCCAGAGAGATACAAATTCATTACAAAACTTTAAAAAGATATGCCCACCCTATCAAATGGCCTTCATATCATTATAAATGGTTTGAATGTTTTCAGACAGAATCTCTGAGGGGAAGCATTGCTGGGCAATGCCATTAGATAAAGTCAGGGGCTTGGGGTGCAGTTCAGTGATAGAGTGCTCACCTGGAATGTGTGAGGCCCTGAGTTCTGTCCCCAGCACCAAAAAAAAAAAAAGTATGGAAAGGAAAGAAAAGGCCAGGGCAGAACAGTCTACCACTAAATCTAACCTGAGGAAGATAAGAGAAAATGATCTGTTTGCCCCAGAACAAAATGTCAATGCTGTGTGTTATAGACTGTGCCCACGAGGGCCAGACTGTGTGAATCACGGGCTGCTTCTCTACCACTCCCCCTTTGCCCCCCCCCCCATTGGTGATACTTTGGGAACTGCTGCCCAAAGGCACAGCAAAGAATAAGAGAAGCCACTCCGGAAGGCACACCCTTCTCACAGACTGCCGTCCACCAGGCTGATGCGGAACTCTTGGGTCTTTAGATTAGGGTGTTGGGTCCACATCTAGTAAGTGACCCCTGAATATCATGGGCTCTGAAGAGACTTGCTCTACAGGTCATGAGCTACAAAATGTCACTGACCCTGCCCAGGCAGCTCAGTAAAGCGCCATCTAGTGCAAAATGTGGTGCCCGGGAAGCCGTGGCTGCTCCTGTAACAGCTGCTTGCTGTTGGAGACCAAGTTTTGCTTTTCCTGGGGCCTCAATAAATACTGATCAATTATTTATCCCTGTTGGGTGACATAATTTCATTTCAGTCTGCCAGTGTTTATCACGGAGGCTCACTCTAATTGCATAGTTTGGGGCGTTTTCCTATTTTCTCTTTAGGGCACCTCACAGCACCCTTTCCCCCCCTCCACGTCTAACTGTTGCTATGCCGATTTATTAGTCTCTGCTACTGGGTACCTTTCTGAAAGATAAATGAATTTCATTCTGTCTTTAAATATTTATGTTTCTCTATAATCTAATATATCATCATGGTTATAGGGGAATTTTTTCCCTAACTATAGAAAAATACACCATCAGTTACCTGTCAATTTTGTTTAATAACTTGGCTTTGCAATTCTGGCACACTGTTCATCTGAAGCTGTTGAGAACTCTCTCAGTCTCTCAGTCCACTTCGAAGTGTCAATCTGGGATTTATAAAGGTCTTCATTGCACAGAGGATATTGAAACATTAAGGACTTAAGTGGCATGCCCTTCGTCACTGTCACCCAGAAGATCCAGGACTAGCAATCCAGGCATCTTCATCTTGTTGTTTGCTCCCAGCAGAAAAGAGCAGTCTCTGTAGAAAACCAGCCAGTATCCCTAGAAACAATTCATCAGACTTTTCAAAAGAAATCCAATTTCATCCAGGCTGATGGGTTCAGTGTTACTTCTTAAGATAAATGAGAAAAATATCAACATTATAATGCAAAGAATTCCAATTCTTTTGGTTTAGTCTCAGTGAAAAGCATCACAAACCCTTTAACAGCAAGCTTCTGTGGCCTTCCCTAAGGCTTTTATGGCTGGCGGGAGAAGATGGGGATGGTTTTGTATTTTTTTCCCTACCAAAGAGTCCTGGCTCCGAGTCCTGGCTGGCTCAGAACCTTTGACAGTCACAGTATCTGTGTCAGTGTCTCTGCACTCTGCATCTTTAAGAAACTCCCCAGGTAACTATTAGTGAGGCCCTCTGAAATTCAAGAACTACTAGTCTAGAAACTGCAGATTTCAAGTACCTTCAAGCTTCAGAAGCATCATAAGCCCCAAATTCTCATTCTATTTGTAAACCTTGATTTGTACATAAGTTATTCTCAGGCAATTTTTTGCATGCCTATTCTTAGGAAGTTTCCTAAACAGACAGCTCTGTTCCTCACAGGTATAGCTACGGGAAAGCACATTAAATGATACAGGCTCTCATTTCTTAAAACAAAAGCCAGTGTCAGGGAGGAGGCCATTGTGTGCCAGGGAACCTGTGAAGACAGGACAAAAATGATGCATCTTCCTACAGCATAAGATTTTCTCTAAAATATTATTTATAAATGTTATTGTCAAATATTTTAAAATTACAAGAGGTGTACTGAGGAGTGGGTGCAAAGCTCACATGGGTATTATGCTAAACATGTAACTTCAAAAGGTGTCCTAACTGTAGCTAATATGGCTCCCAGACCCCAGGCCTGGAGGTTAGTTCATTCTGCTCCTCTACCAGAAATGCTTTTGTCACGTTCAATGTTACCCTTGACCAGGGGTTCCTGCACATCAGGTTCCATAGGATTAAAATGAATACACTTTAGAAACTACTACAGAAAATTAGTCTGAAGAGGACCCTCTACGAAGGCAATGCTGAACAGTCTGCTCCCAGGAGACACTCAGTAAAATGAGCACTTTCATTCCTGCCACATTTTAGGAATGTTCACAAAAGAGAATTATTTTGCAGGGCACAGTGGTGCACACTATAATCCCAGTTACTCGGAAGGAGGGGGGCAAATTCAAGGCCAGCCTGGGTAAGACCCTTTCTCAAAAAAAAAAAAAAGTGTTATTTCTCTTCTCCTAATTTTTCTTCTTTTTCCTTCTTTCTTTCTTTCTTTCTTTCTTTCTTTCTTTCTTTCTTTCT